GTCCCAATAGCTGAGTGGTCCTTTCAGCTGCCACAATAGGTGTCAAACTGATTGCTGGCTCCCAGTCCGATGACATAAACATCTTGCAATCTTATATAGCATAAATACTGACCTGGAATCCAGCAGACTGGTGAGATGGAAGTTGAGTCATGACATATTTATTAAGCTGAGCACTGAGTTTGACACTCACAGGAATGCCACATTAATTCAAGACACATTTCTTGCTCTTCGGGGGCTTATAGCATTGATTTGGCCAAGGGGACCACCCAACATCCATTAGGATGGAGAAATCAAATCTCCACTTTGGGCTCACTGTACTAAATGGAGCGACAGGCCAGCAGATGAAAAGGGCCTTGGTGCATATGGAAAGCACATGCAGCTTTAACTCTCAGCCTATGTGTATTAAGTCTGTGAGCAGCCTGGCTGCAGAGGGAAGGTGGCTGTTTGTGCATAAACACTGTCATTTCACTGGGAGGGCTATTTCATCTTAGAACCTTGCATCAAAGGAACACTGACCTTATCCCTGTAGCTTGCCTTACTTTGAAGAGCATGGCTTTGCATTGCAGATTAAAGTGAAGACATTCATCAAGGAAGAGATCTGGCCAAGCTCTTGCCAATATCAGTTCAAAACAAAACCTTCAAAGGCTCCAATTACAGTTGTAGCCAGTGGGCCGAGGATAAAGGCTCAAAGCTGCCCTCCTCTCTCTCAGACCCTATAAGGCAGTTCTCACATGACCACAGTGCATCTCTTTGGGCTTTGGGCAACTTTACCCTGCAAGCTAGAATGTCCGAGCAGAAACGGGTGAGCTAATGTAATCTTCCCAGTCTGTCTTCTTTATTAAAGCATGGAATTGTCATAAATGAGGACAGCTCGTAATTCACTGCGTGACTTTAAATTCTTCAAAAGATGTGTCAGCCTAATCCACCTGCAAGTTGGTTGATGATTTTATTAATTATCTACTCCTTTGCTCATGCCTTTGAAAGAAATCGTGTTATCTTTCTCACTGGTTCTCCTAACTTCATGCTAAAAAAATACACTGTACACATTTTCTGTTATTATTATGATGATTTTCTCCTAAGATGACAAAGAAGAGAGTGAAAAATTTTAACAGGGATGTTTTTAAAAAAAGTGACAAAATAATATTGTAATTATGACTAAAAGAGAGAACAAAGAAAATATCTCCTAAGAAAATTGATTATAGATGACCACCCAAACACAAATTACTATATCTTTAAATCTTTCTGCAAATCTTCAACATTGATCAGATAAACAGAGTAAGTTCTGTGTGTGATGAGGCAACAAGTCAATCCAGAGGAGGGAAGGCAAAGATTATAAACTGGGGTCTATTTAAATCAATCCATTTTGATACCATATCATGAAAGGGTTTAAGAAATCAGTGGAAATCTTTGTTCAGACAGGCTAGTTTTCAGAATAACATTTCTCTAATCACTCATCTTTAATATAAGATTAAAGGATAAGTCTAGGCATTATAGGTCCGTGGACTTGCATCTTAGCTTAAATTCCAAATGATTGTTTTTCAATTACAAAATGTGTGAAGATCAAGAAGATAGAAATATGGTTTTGTGAGAAGATACTGGTTTCAGATCAGTAGGAATGTGCTCAAGTAGGAGTGGACACAGCTCAATTTCTAGTATCAGTTTTAAAAGGATGAAAGAGAGCTGTTTATCCAATATTCATGCTGTTTTTAAATTTATCTCCTACCTGCCAAGAGAAGGCCATGTAACATTTTGGCCAATGGGTTGCAAGCAGGGTAACTAGTGTCAATTCCAGACTGATGATACTATCCTTCTTTTTCTACCAGGGTGATCACCATAGAGGCCATGTGTTGAGAAGGCCAAGACTCAAGCTAGAAGCAGCCAGAGTTACTACCCGCATGAGGGAGAGCTGCCCTGAGTTGTCTAATTTTATTAGATCTCGTGTGTGCAAAAGAGAAACCTTGGTTATGTTAAGCCACTTAGATTTTCAGGATTTATTTGTTATACTGGCTTAGCCTAACTTTCCCTGGAACCTTGGAGAACACCTAACCCTACCTCACTACCATTATAAGAATCCTTTCTACAGCATCATTGAGAAACAGTCTAAATAATTCTTGAATATCTCAAGAATAGGAATTAATAATAACAAGCAATATACAATGCTCACTATACAGTAAGTTGTTGGGTTATGAATGCCCAACTTATGAAAACCCATACTTGCCCTTAATGTAAATTTGTTTTCACTTGGAAAGGATTGAAACAACCCCTACTCACAAAAAAAATCTTTATCATATCACCTTCACTTTCTACACAGGCAGCCTTTAAATCATTGAAAAGTCTTTGAACTTTTCTTGCACTAAAGTAAAGTGAAGGAAGAATCATACGCACCTGTTCCAACTTACCTACAAATTCAACTTAAAGACATGCTTAGGAACAGATCTCATTTGTAACCAGGGACTGCCTGTCTAATTGTTTCAAGACAAGTTAAATATTTTTCACGGGTTAATTTATCTGATTTTCATAATAGCAATAACTCATAAATACTACTATTTTCCACATTTTACAGCCAGGGAAACTGAACACCGAGAAGTTAAGTAATTTGTTCAAGATTGAATAGATAAGTTACTTGCCTAAGGCCACACAGCTGTCAAATACATTCATGTGCTGCATAACATACATTCAGGCAATGACCAATTGCATATATATCCACGGTCTCATAAATGTTAAAAGAGAGTTCAGAAATCCTGAACTCTGAAATCAGAAATCCTGATTGGAGAATGTGACATAGTGAACACATCAGCACCTTACAAGCAACATATGTATGTCATATCTCTTATATACAAAGTGATTGTGCTGCTAGGTGTATAATGGTACAAGATATGTATAACCTATAATAAACATGTTTTGATAGTCATAATAAACACCTGAATTACTGGTTTATGTATATACCATACTGTTCTTTCTATCTAAAAAAGTTTACCTATAACAGTGTATACTTCAATTTGTAGGTGGCAGTATCCAATCTCATGTATCATATGTCTCTTGAGTGTTGTATTGTTATCTGTTTCATTTTCTTCAGAAAATATTACCCTAAAGTTCATGGCTCCCAAATGCAGTAAAACCTGAGTTAGTGATAGCAGCAGCAAGAGGTAAAGGAGAAGTATCAATTTGTAAGTGAAACAAAAGGTTATTAAACAACACAAAAGTAGAAAATCAGTGAATGCTATTGCTTAAGATTTAGCTATGTGGCATTGACAATCATGATGCTCCTCAAAAACAAAGAAAAACTTCTCCAAACCGTCCCAAGATTCAGCTCCATTGAAAGTTACAAGGCTAACAAAAATGCTAGATCTATATCAGATATGGAGAAATTGATAATGATGTGGATTGAGGACCAAACACAAAATCAAATTCAGCTTAGCATGTTGAGGATCACTGCTAAGGAATGAAACTTGTTTGAGATGCTTAAAGAAAAAACACAGGACCAGAGTACTACAATATGGGATTCACACAACATCCAAATTACATAAGGTCCTATTTCACAGAATGGTCATTAAGCAAGCAGGACTATAGTGTCAAGGGGAGTCAAATCTAGAGAGCTGGCTTCAGAGCCTCTGGATTTAGTTGCACTATGTTGCCTCCTTAGACTGGAATCTTATTTCCTTTTTAGACAGATCATTCGAGAAGACATGGAATCATAAAACCTAAGAGACAAACCTAGAATGACTTTACAGATCAATCAATCCATCACTGCACTTCACATCATGGGCAAAAATCACCTTGCAGGCCATTCTCCTGAATTAGTGAGAAAGGAAAGGTTCATCCTAGAGGTTTTCAAACCAGTGTTGTGGGGAGAATTAGGACTCAGGAAAAGGGCTTAACGAGGGTATTGATATGGGCGTGGGTGGGGGTACTACTTTCCTTAGACCAGCTTTGCTTCTATGTAGTAAGCTTCTGAGTAAAATTTGTATGTAAATAATGTGTTTTCCTGCTTTAATAAAATTAAAAAACGATGGATCTCCCCATACTGCTACTGAAATAGTAGGTTTAGAGTTTGCACTAGGCAATGTAGGGCTGAAAGTCAGTTGGGGATGCAGATGGATTGCATAGCACCATGACCAGTTCTGGGGTCAGGATAATGTGCTCCTTCCATAAATGCACTAATTAGCTTGACTCTCAGCAAGAGCTACTATATTCATTACTGTAGCCACAACTGTGTGTGACATGCGGTAGGAGCTCTATAAACTTTATCTGAAAAGTGTAGAGTTTCAGGGGCATTCATTGATTAAACAATTCTTAGAAATAAGTTTAAGTTGTTTGGGATGAATAATATAGCATACTCTATGTATGGTGACCCCATGTCAAGAAAATGACTGGAAAGTTATCATTGTATGCATTTTGGTCATATACTCTTGTATGGCCAGTGGTGGATTTCCTCTCCCCAACCTCTGGCTGGAAACAAAAAAGGATGAAAAGAATCAAAATATTAAATCTACTAGTTTGGTCTCAGAGAAGCACAACTGATAGCCCCCAACAAACACAGGTAAAGATACACAACTATTTGGTTCATTTTAGCACACAATATTATCCAATTGCCACCACATTGAGTGAATTTGAAAGTTTTCTTTGCTTTAACAAAGGTTTCTTATTTGTGCTAACAACAGTTCTAGTACAGCTAACACATGATTTGGTTTATATATTGTTGTTGCTGTTGTTATGTGCCATCAAGTAGGACCCAACTCATAGCGAGCCCTCCTTGGGTTTCTGAGGCAGCATCACTATGGAAGTAGATTGTCCCATCTTCCTTCTGAGGAGTGGCTGGTGGGTTTGAACTGCCAGCCTTTTTGTAGGCAGCCAAGTGCCTTAGGCACTATGTTGATATATACATTGGGTTATATAAAACAAAGGAGTATGTGATATAGGGGGATATTGGTGGAGCATAAAGGAGAAAGAGGTTTGGGAAAGGAGATTGTGGGAGCTTTGTTTACAGCTGAACCTCTTACCTTGCGTGGTCCCATCCATTCCCATGAGGAATTTAATTGACCTGATGATGTGCTCTGATATCGGAGGACTCATTGCTGTGCCATACACAGCACTGTGTGAGTTAACCCGTAAATAATCCACAAGGTCCTTAAATAAAGGGGAGGGGGGAACAGAAAGAATATCAATCTTTTAGTTTTGGTGGTGACTGTCACATCTTCTTCCCCATACATTATAGTAAAAGACATTTACTTCCAGAATCTCAAAAGATGAATGTGGTCTGGCTTTCAATAAAAAAACAAAGCCAAACTTACTGCTATCGACTTTGATCTGACTCATAGCAACCCCTCCTTGGGTTTCCAAGGCAGTATCACTATGGAAGTATGTTGCCCAACCTTCCTTCTGAGTTACATGTATTAATTATTAATAATAAACTTATTAACACATTTAAGCCTCACAATAACACAATAACCCTGTTGGCTAGGGAGGATGCAGAGAGGATCAACTCAACTTCTACTGACCTGCATTTGGTTCTTACCCTAATGTTAGGCCGAAGCAAACCCAAGCCACCAACATTTCAGTTAGCAGCTTCCTCCAGGTGTCAAGCCCTGATGAGACAGCCTGATAAGACAACTGAAGTGACAGAACCCACCCAGACTGGAAAGTCCCATGCAGTGGCAAGCTTCCTCTTGTGAAGCCCCCTCATGCTAACTAAGTGCAGACCCATACTAACAGCTGATTGGACCCCACCATCTCCTTAGTGTCCCCACTTAGGTCCTCCACAAGACTATAAACCCTCCCCTCCCCAGCCAGATGGTGCGACTTCCCGGGCCCCTCTCAGGGACCCATGAACCTCGCCTGGGCCCCTCTCGGGGGCCCGTAAACCTCCCCCGGAAACTCAGAATAAAAACTTCTCTTTAACCTCACTTTTGTGCATCCTCTTCTCCTTACTGTGGCCTTACACCTAATCCACTGGAATTACCTTCTTCTTCTTCTTTTTTAAAGTCTTGACATATTCAAGTTTATATAGTAGTAAACCACAGATTGAATCACAAAATAATGTGATTCTCAAACTCTTTGAGTCTATTATTTTTGTTTCTCCAAAGAGACTGAAACCTCCTTGAGGGCAAGGATGGAGTTACTCACTTCCATAGTGGTGGGTAGTTTGGAGGGGCTTGGTGAAAAGTTATGGAAAGCAAAGAGGTTTCAGGGACTGAGGAAGAACAGTGGGAGTCTCTGAAGGGATATAAAAGAAAACCAAACTAGTTGCTATTGAGTTGATTCTGACTCATGATGACCCCATGTGTATGAGTAGAACTGTGTTTGTACAGGGTTTTCAATGACTGATTTTTCAGAAGTAGGTTGCCGACTCTTTCTTCCAAAGCACCTCAAGGTGGGATTTAACCTCTACCCATTTGGTTGGTAGCCAAGTGCATTAACTTTTTGCACCACACAGGAAGTCTCTGAAGGATACAAGGGGTACTATGCTACATTCTTAGGAACAAGTGTAACAATATCCACTTAGTCATGGGGCATCTCTGAAAAAGATCAGCTGAAGAAAAAAACAAAATTCCTTTTATTCCCCAAAAGGCTCTTTTTCCAATGTTTTTATCATCCACTTTTCTTCCATAAATTGAGAAATTCTGTAGAATTAAGATCATGAGAACTCCTAGTTTGGGTAAGTACTTTATCAGTGGGGTATCACACCCTTTTAACATAAAGACTATCTTGTCTATAATTTCAATTATTTTAGACTGAGCCTACTTTCTCCTGGAGTCTTAATTTACAGATAGAGTTAATTTGCAAGTCTGGCTCAGAAAGTGAGGCTGTGCAACTACTTCTGGTGATCATCAAGGAAAGCCTAGATTCCCTCCTTTATTTCTCATATGATGTGCAACGAGCCAGAAACTAAGAGTTGACTTTGGTCTTTAGCAAGGTGAATATAGGTTGTGTCTTCCTTCAGGGTGAGTTAGAAGTCTCCTGATACTGAGGTTTCCAAGTCCATTTGTAAGTTCAAGATTCTTATTATTTTCTGTATTCTCAGGCCTGCAGTTCAAAAGCAAGGGTAGATTTTCTGGAAGAACTCAGACATGAGAATCTTAGAACAAACATCTTGATATTCATTCGAAAACACCCTATTTACTTCAAAGAGTTCTTAAATATAGTCAGGGCCAGGCCACAGGGTAGAGCTGCCTTCTGCCAGGGGCCTGCCTTTACCTGGTATGCAGGCTTCTGGGGCTAACACTCACCCCAACTTTGGCTGCCCTGCCCCACATTCCTTCTCCAGAATTCCAACCACACAGCTAATCAATCATAAGGGCTTCCTTTTTCTCATATATTGACAAGCCTCTGGTTTGCCTGTAGAGGCTGTCAAAGCCAGTGGTTGTTAGCACTAGGCATGCAAGAGGAAGCAGGGTCCAGCAACAGAGAAAAATTTGGACCATAGAAAGGTCTGTAGCATTGATCATATCTCCTCGGCAAAATTAAAATAAAAGTAAGAAACCTAGCCTCATCAGCTCAGCTTTCTTCAAAGAAGCCATTCATGGCATGGGGCACTGACAGGTGGAAAGAAGTAATGACCTGACATTTCACTTCAAAGACCTTGAAAGGACAGAAGGCTCCAGGCTGATTTATTCACAGCTCATCTACAGCAGCTCCAAACTTGACGTGAGAAAGACAGTAATATTTACTTGTTCTTGAGAGACCATTTTAGCAGTTTCCCTGAGATGGGAAGAAGGGTGCACTCAGGGCAGTGAGCTCCTATAAAAACCAAAACCAAATTCACTGCCATCAAGTCAGTTCCAACCCATAGCAACCCCCATTGGGTTTCCAAGGCTTTAATCTTTACAGAAACAGACTGAATTTGTACAAGCAGAGATCAATTTGTAGAACATTTTATAAGTAGAAGATCAGGGCCAAAACAGCATTTCTACTATCTGTGAAGGTGTCTCAGCACAAAGCCAATTTTTTTCTTCCTTTGTTTGTTGCCAAATATTTTTTTCTACCTGATACATCTGATTGCTAATGTATAAAGCTCTAACTTTGACCTACTCCACGTAGATTTTTAGAGCATCACAAACACTGCTGTTATTATTATGTGCCGTTGAGTCGGGCCCGACTCATAGTGACTCCTCCTTGGGTTTCCAAGGTGGTATCACTACGGAAGTAAATTGCCCAACTTTCCTTCCAAGGAGTGGCTGGTGGGTTTGAACCACCAGCCTTCTGGTTAGCTGTCAAGTGCCTTAGGCACTATGCTACTAGATCTCCTTACTGGGAATATAGTCCCTCTATTACCCATATTGACATTATAATTTACAAAAGAGAGTTGAGTCAGACATGCATTTTTCTTTTTCTAGATTTTTGGACTCAAGTGATTATTTTCGTATCTTAAGATTTACCATTCACACAGTGAAACTGAAATTATTTAAGGTTTCAGAAAAATATAAATCTGAGGGTATGAACTTTAACCTTTTTTTTTAATGGTTAATTTTGTTGTTTTTATGTCTATTGGTATAAAATCCAGGATATTTTGCAGTGGTAACATTTTCTTAATCCTATGTCCTGTCAGTTAAAAAACATAGCTTAAAAGTCTTCACAAAATCATTCAAAGTCTTGGGGAATAAAACTATTATTTAAATTAAAACAAAGGTAAAGATGAAAACCTAAACTTATAAAACTGGAACCCCAAGAACAAATTGGTTCTTAAAATTTCAAACTATGAATCTTCAATAAAATCATTTGCTAACTATTACCAGCAGTTACGCTAGTGCAATCTTGTTTGAAAACCAGATTTGGAGTGAATTGCAGAGATATCAGAAAAAGCAAACTGCAAGCAAAGAGAAAGTCTCTCTCTTTCCCCCATCTCTCTCTATCTATCTATATGCACCATTAAGTCATGGGCTCATTAGACTGGAAGGAAACCATAGTTATCTGGGGCAATCACAGCCTCAGTGGTCCCCTAAATTTAGCACTTGACACTAGCAGAAAAGTTGGAAGTATGAACCCACCTAGAGGTACCTCGGAAGACAGGAGGGAGATCTGCATCTGAAAAGTCACAGCCATGAAAACTCTGTGGAACACAGCTCTACTATGCACACAGGGAACTGTGAGGAGTAGGCATCAACCCCACAGCAGCAATGAACAATGACATCATAGCCTCATCCAAACCATTCCAGACAGGTGTCCTCCCCCCAATATAGAGTGAACAGTACATGCAGACACTTTCTCAAGTGTTCTCCTATATCTTGCTCATCCTCCATGTCTTGAAAATGACCCTATATTTTCTAGGTTTTGCTTCTTGTGATGCAGTGGATAAGACATTCAGCTGCTAATCAAAATATGAGTGGTTAGAATCCACCAGCTGCTCTTCAGAGAAAGATGAGGCAGTTTGCTTCTGTATAGATTTACAACCTTGGAAACCCTATGGGGCAGTTCTACTTTGTCTTACAGTGCCACTATGAGTCTGAGTTGACTTAATGGCAGGGCATTTGGTTGGTCCTAGGGCTGTGTGCTGGTGGCGTAGTGCCTAAGACATTTGACTGCTAACCAGAAGGCTGGCGATTCAGACTCACCAGCCACTCCTTGCAAGGAAGACTGGGCAATCTACTTCTGTAGAGATACCTCCTTGGAAACCCAGGGAGGGGTCGCTATGAGATGGATTAACTTGAAGGCAGTGAGTTTTGTCTCTCTGTACACGCTGTTGGGTCTCTTATCAAAAACTCACTAATTTCTGCTGCCATCTAGTGGTATGTAGGGGAACTGGAGTGTAACATGGAAGGTGGAGAGCAGGAGAGAAGGGGGACCGAGAGGAAGAAGAGAAAGTGGAAGACAGAGAAATGCTGTAGCTGTCTAAATCCAAGTATGCACATAATGAGTACTTTAAAGGGCAAGAAAATGAACATATTTACATACTTTTCTGCATACAGACTAATGAAAATTATAATAATTTTAAAAATTGCTCATTATCTATCCCAAATAAACAGAAACTACATAGTCAAGAGCAAATACACGTTTAAAATAGTCCAGGGGAAATAACTTCAGTTTGGAGAGTGAGAGAGAGCTATCGTGAGTTGTGAGTTGGCCTTTCCTTTGAGTTCCTCATGAGCCTTTGTTTAAAATGAGTATCAAACGAAGAAACTCAAGGAGAAAGTGTGACATCAACCAAATTTGACAACATTTCAAAAATGCACCTGCTTCAGTTTACTCAGGTGCTTTTGGTTCAGGAAACAGAGTTATAGTTGGTTAAAATTTTTGTAGTTCAGAACTGCTGCTAAAATCATCACAAAACCACAAGCTTACAAAGCAATGTAGCCTGGATAAGGGCCCTTAAATTTGAGACCCTCTGATCTCACTGCACAGATCTGGTGGCGTAGTGCCTAAGACATTTGACTGCTAACTAGAAGGTTGGCAACTCAAATCCCCCAGCCACTCCATGGAAGGAAGACGGAGCAATCTACTTCCGTAAAGATTCACTGCCTCAGAAAACCAAAGGGGGCCGATGTGAGTTGGAATCAGTGGCAGTGAGTATTTATTTATTTATTTATTTTGGATCCCATTGCTTTGACAGAAGCAAGAGATGGAACATTTAATCTTTTGACAAATTTAGCTGACTTTTCTAAGGGCCTGAACATTCCCTCTGTTTTTAGCATTACCCAGCTAATTTCCCTAGGACACTGGAAAGGGAATAAAAATCAATGAATTGAGCTCCAAAGATAGTAGGACTTATTGAAGAATAAAGAACTTTGAAAACTCTGAGTATTTTAAGCAGTTGTATGTCTCTTGGTGAGGTGAGTGGACAACATTAAATCTGTTGTTTGAAATCATAGATTTCAATGATAACAATATTTTCTGCTGTGTTCCCTGATTTGTCTAACTGGTTTACCAGGACTCTGAACTCTTGTTCCTCCTGGCATAAAGTATTGATACTATATATATGAGCTTGGGGCCTGTTGTCTCCTAGGTGGAGACAATGCTACTTTCACACTGTCTGTTTGAATAGGTGTAGGCTTGTATGGGAGCTCTGGTACCATAGTGGCTAAGACACTTGACTGCTAACCAGAAGGCTGATGGTTCAAACTCACCAGCCACTCCTCGGAAGGAAGATGGGGCTATCTACTTCCATAGTGATACTGCCTCAGAAATCCAAGGAGGTGTCGCTATGAGTCGGGTACGACTCGATGGCACATAACAACAACAGCAGGCTTGTATGAGATATCTTGTCAGGATTTGGATGAGATCATCATATAATGGGACAGGGATAACTGGCTCCTTTATCCCTCAAACCCAGACTTTTTTTTTTTTTTTTTTTCTGTTTCTCCTTCCCTTCCCTTTTCCTGTTAATTTCTGTCAAACATTTATTGATGGTTGTTTTATATTTGCAATCCCCTTGATGTTAAAAACATTACAATGACAGGGATAAAGCTCAGTTGGTCAGAAATTTTAGATGTTAGAGCATGATTTGATTTATGGCTTATCCAAAATTGTGGGAAAAATTATTTTGCACAGAAAATCATTTATAAGCACATTTCTGATACAGTCATTATTTTCATCAAAACTCTTAAAATCTACAACTAGTACCACGAGCATCAAACTCTTTAATATCTGACCTTTTACTACTGTTATTATTACCTCTCTTTGTTTTTCTTGTCACAAAAACCAAACTATTTGCAGTTCTCTAACATCCCCTTAAAATTTCTGTGGCTTGGTGTACATTATTTCCTTGTCATACATTATTGCTTTGAAAATGTAACAATCACTCACCCACACCCCAATCGTTGACCTATGAGACTGAAATTTGTTCTAGAAGACTTCTTGGATATATCCTTTCTTTCAGAGTTACTTATCCCTCTTCTTTGCACTAAGTCTTTACCTGTGTTCACTGCTAGTGTTGTCATTTTATGAGAGTGTAATTACTCATCACATGCCCTTTTTCACTATTACAGGGTGAGCTCTTGGACATTCTGGGCCTAACGTGTCTGAGAATCCACTACAGCTACACCATGGAGCTCAAGAAAAGGGTGGTGAACTGAACTGAAGCTTTATTCAGGCAAGGCCTGAAGACCACATCCCCAGGCAGCTCAGGTTTTAACACAGACACAGGAGACCTCTCTTACCTTCCTTCCAGCTAGGTAACCTCCTGAGGCTCCAAAACTTTTCGTGAATGTGCCCATCAACACATCAACATCGTGAGGGTCCATTCCATAGAATTCTGTGACACCCCGGCCGGTAGGGCCCAGAGCCCCAATGCTGTGAGCCTCATCCATGAAGAGGTAAGCCTTGTATTTATTCTTCAGAGCCACGATCTGGGGCAGGTGCACAATGGAACCTTCCATGCTACGTCACAAAGAGAGATGCTCATAACTAACATGAAACTTCTTGGGAAATTCTGTGTTAGATGTTCCACTACATGTCAGATAACCTGTCCTGACATTAGTCATTAGTGATGGGGCATGCCATTCCTTTCTTCCTTCCCTCCTTCTTTCTCTTTCTTCCTCCCTTCCCTTTCCCTCACTTCCCTTTTGTCTTCTTTCTTTTCTCCTTCCTTTCCACTTTCTCTCCTTCCCTATCTCCCTCCCTTTTCTTTCTTCCTTCTTTTCTTGTCTTAAAATATATCCAACATAAAATTTTCCATTTTAACAATTTTCAAGTTACAAGCTGGTGGCATTATTCCACACTCACGATGTTGTGCAACTATTACCACTGTCTGTTCCAAAACTTTTTCATCACTCCAAAGAGAAACTCAGTACCCCTTCAGCAATGAGTCCCCATTCTCCTTTTCCTCTAGTCCCTGGTAACCACTAATAAACATTGGTCTTTATATACTTGACTACTCTAGATATTTCATATAATTGGGATCTTACAATATCGGTAAGATCAACTGAGTTATTTCACTCAGCAAAATGTTTCCTAAGATTCACCCTGGTGGTAGCACATATTGGAATTTTATTCCTACTTATTGCTGAATAATATTTCATTGTATGATTGTACCACATTTTTTTGTTTGTTTGTTTAGTCATCTCTTGATGAACACTTGGGTTGGGTTGTCTTCACCTTTCAGCTATTGTGAATAATGCTGCAGTTAATACATACATCTGTTTAAGTCCCTGCTTTCAGTTGTTCTGGGTATAAACCAGGAGTGAAATTACTGGGTCATATGGTAATTTTATAGTTAACATTTTCAGGAACCACCAAACTGCAACATTTTGCATTCCCACCAGCAGTGGTTGAGGGTTCAATTTCTCCACATCCTCAAAAACACTTTTTTTTTTTTTTGTAATAGTGATCCTAGTGGGTGTGAAATGGTATCAAAAGTGATTTTGATTTGCATTTTTCTAATGACTAATAAAGGAACCCTGATGGTACAGTGGTTAAGTGCTAACCAAAAAGGCTGCTCAGCTTCTAACCAAAAGGCTGCTAATCAGAAGTCTTTAACCAAAAGGTCACCAGTTCAAACCCACCAGCCACTGTGTGGGAGAAAGGTGGTAATGTGCATCCATAAAGATTTACTGCCTTGGGAACCCCAGGGGAAGTCCTATTCTGTCCTATAGGGTCACAATGAATCAAAATCAACTTGGTGGCAGTGAGTGAGTTGTAGGGATCTACCTTTACTGGCCTGCTAGTATCTACTTGGCCAATTCAGTCTGATCTACACTCTTGCTTGATTTGCTAAAGATTAAAAGAGGGAATTAAAAAGACACGAAAGAGAGAGACTTTCAGTAAGATGGAGGAATAGGCAGTCAAGCGACACAGACCCTCTTCAACAAAGAAAAGAAAAACCAATTGACAGAGATACAGAAGATAATTCTGGAGCCCTGAGCTTTGAAAGGAACTATGCAGAAGTGGATTAGGCACCAACTAGTGGAAAAACCTGAATGAAAACAGAGAGTACAGAGATGGTCAGAGCTGCAGACTGTCAGTTACTCTGATGGGACCAATAGCCTGAATATTTCCAAGTGGTGTTGTGACCTGAGAATTGACCTGAAGATCATCCTTGGTCACCAAGGGCTGCAGGGATGACTGCACTGGTGGCTTGTGACTAGGAAGGGAAACAGCAGGGAGGGAGACAATCTGAGCTGTTGACTTTCCACTGTCCAGAGGTCACAGCCATTTTGATTGTTTGCATGTGGCAGCCATTTTGGATATTTAAAGTGATCGAGGTGCAGCCATTTTGAATGTTGATAAATGGCAGCCATTTTGGATATTTAAAGTGACTGAGGGTGCAGCCATTTTGTATGCTTATAGGCAGTGGTCATTTTGGATATTTGAAGTGACCGAGGGTGCAGCTATTTTAAATCTTTACAAGTGGCAACCATTTTGGATTTTAAAGTGATAGCATTCTCATTCAGATTCCAGGGACCCAAGTATAGGCTCTGTTTGCCAAGGCCAGCAAGGGACATACGAGAGGCTGACAACAGGAAAGGAGACAGATGGTGAGCATATAAGTGCTATAAATTAGTGAATAGAGGATCACAGCACAGTACCCTGCTTGTATAGATAACATACAAAGAAAATGAAAATTGTGGGCAAGTCACTCCAACATACAAGCACCAATTAAATATAAACACAAAAATTCACAATGCCTCGGAGACAACAGAACATCACAGTCCACACAAAGAAGCAAGATAAAGCAGGAGAAACAAGGGACCACGATACAGACCCAAAACACATCACTGAGGAACATGCAGCATTAGAACTCCCTGATAAGGAATTCAAAAGAATTATCTTTAGGTATCTTCAAAGGATTGAGAGACAACCAAGGAAAACACAGATAAAACCCTAGAAGAATTTTGGGAGAAAATACAAGAACAAAATGACAAAATAAATGAAAAATTACAAATGATTCTAAATCTACAGATAGTAATCCAGAAGATTAATACTAAATTTTCAGAAATAGATAACACATTGGAAGGGCAAAGGAGTAGAATTGATGCAATGGAAGACAGAATTAATGAGGTTGAAGACAAATACCTCAA